ATACACTTACACACAAGTTATTGTCCTGAAACTAGAAAAATGCTTGTTTTTTGCCCCTTTTTGGCCCCTTATTCCTAAAATCTTGAGGCAATTACCCCCAAAATCAATCCCAGCCTTCCATTTGTGGTATGGTACCTTGCAGTACAATTTCAGAGAGATCCATACACTTGAACACAAGTTATTGTCTGGAAACTAGAAAAATGTTTATTTTTGGCCCCTTTTTGGCCCCAAATTCCTAAACGTTTAAAGCAATTACCCCCAAACTCAATTCAAGCTTTTCCTTTGTGATATGGAACCTTGTAGTACAATTTCAGAAAGATCCATACACTTACACACAAGTTATTGTCATGAAACTAGAAAAAATGCTTGTTTTTTGCCCCTTTTTTGGCCCCTAATTCCTAAAATTTTGAGGCAATAACCCCCAAAATCAATCCCAGCATTCCCTTTGTGATATGGAACCTTGTGGTACAATGTCAGAGAGATCCATACACTAACACACAAGTTATGTCTGGAAGTTACAAAAATGCTTATTTTTGGCCCCTTATTCCTTAACTGTTGGTACCATAACCCCCAAAATCAATCCCAACCTTCCTTTTGTGGTATTGAACCTTATGATAAAATTTCATAGAGATCCATTCACTTAAACTAAAGTTAGAGTGTGAAAACCAATGTGTCTTCGGACGACGACGACGACGACGACGACGATGCCAACTTCATACCAATATACGACCCCAAAATTTTTTTGCGGTCGTATAAAAAGAAGGGGGGTGGGGGTTACCCCAGGGGATTTCCCCTTAATTACATTTGATTTGTTTTATAGTCCCATTCAAGAATATATATGGTTTAGGGGTGGGGATCTAGATCTTTTACAAGTTATCAAAAAGAAGGGGGATGGGGGTGACCCCCATGGACTTCCCCTATATTTCATTTGATTTGTTTTATTGCATATAAGAATATATATGGTTTAGGGGTGGGGATCTCGACCGTTTACAAGTTCTCAAACAGGAGGGGGTGGGGTGATCCCAGGGGGACTCGCCTGTTATTTTTTATTTGATTTGTTTTATTGTCCCATACAAGAATATATATAGTTTCAGGGAGTGGATCTTGACCGTTTACAAGTTTTCAAAAAGAAAGGGGGTGGGGGTGACCCCTATATGTCATTTGATTTGTGTTATTGTCAATTACAAGAATATATATGGTTTAGGGGTGGGGATCTCGACCGTTTACAAGTTCATAAACAGGAGGGGGTGGGGGTGACCCCAGGGGACTCGCCTTTTATTTCATAAGATTTGTTTTATTGTCCCATACAACAATATATATGGTTTCGTGGTGGGGATCTTGACCGTTTACAAGTTTTCAAAAAGTAGGGGGGTGGGGGTGAACCCGGGGACTCCCCAAATATTTCATTTGATTTGTTTTATTGTCCCATACAAGAATATATATGGTTTAGGGGTGGGGATCTCAACCGTTTACAAGATAAAAGCACATTCTCAAATTGAAAGGGGGTGGGGGTAAGAATATATATGGTTTAGGGAGACTTAATTATCTACAAAATGTCTAATAATGAAAGTAAGTTTCAAATTTCATTTATACAGTCCTACTAGTAAATTTCAAACTTTATATATACAGTCCTACAGATCTTATCAGGAAACAGAAAATTTTCAAATAAATCTGTCACTCCAATGATATTATATGCTAAGATATAACCCAGATCTAATTAATAATTAATAATGTAATTAACTTCAAAATGTCTAATAATATAGCTTATAATCATTACCACTAAGGAAATAGATAATTTTCAAATAAATCTGTCACTCCAATTTTTATTGTGAGATAAGACATTATGCTTAGTCATAAAAAGGGGCCTCGGTGGCCGAGTGGTCTAAGTAGTTACTACTGTAATCACTAGCCAGCCAACACTGAGGTTGTGAGCTCGAACCCCGCTCGTGCGGGTGCACTCCACTCCAATCTTAATTGACTAAGATTGTCAGTTTTCCTATCGAAGGTCGTGGTTTTCTCCGGGCACTCCGGCTTCCTCCACCAATGAAAACTGGCCGCCAGGAAATAGCCCAAAAGTGGTGCTTAAAAGTGGCGTTAAAATACCAAAAATCAAAATCAAATTAGTCATAAAAAAGATAACAAGAGTAAAATATTTAAAAATTCCACTTTTGGATATTAAAAATGGCGATAACTCACAAAGGAGATATACTAATATCTTGAAAATTGAACTAGACCTTCATTAAGTCCCAGGAAACAACATATTTAAATTTGAAAAAAAATTGTTAAAGCGTTTTCATGTTATTGTGCTGACACTGTTTGGCAGCCGCCCGCCGTACATCACCATTTTAATAACCGATATTTCCTTCGAAAATCCGGTTAAAAATTGCTGAATTTTTCGTTTTCGTTCAATTACTTAAGTTTGCCTCAACCAAATGTTATGAAACTTATACACAATACTTATTACCACAAAACTCAGATCAAGTACAAATTTGGGTAGAGTCACTTTTACCGTTCTTCAGTTTTGTCCCTTTATAACTTTATATGATATGCAAGCAGGGGCATCATGTGTCCCATGGACACATTCCCCATTTATTTCACTTTCATTTAACTGTATTAAAAAGTGAAAAATGTATGTTCAATTGTTTTCATTAAGATTTGACCAAAAGAAGCTAACGTACATAGTTTTATTTGTATTTCGTATGAAGACCTACTGCTTTGCCACAACCCATACAGCTAGAAGTTCTTAGGCTGAAAGCTGGTGATTTTTTTTCAGGGATTGCAGTTGTATTTTCTATAAGTATATTATATTTTTGTTTTCATTTCCCCAAATTTCAGACAAATAAAGTGAAACAGGTATAAACTACCAACTAAATGTATAGAGAGCATACAGTGCTTTTAGTGCTTGTTCTTCTGTGTTTTTTTCTTGTAGAAAAGAAGTTTCCCTTATAATTAGAAAGTAAACCTAGGTAGCAGTAAACACTTTGAACTTCCTTATCGCATAATGGAAAGGTGTCTTTGACTTACGATTTTAGTTTTGGATTTTTTATCTACAGTGTGGCAGTGAGCTTTTTGCCTTTATGGGGTGCGGAATTTCTATTTACCCGAAATTTCTCTCATGGGTGTGCAAATCAGTGCTTTGATTTTGCGCCACAAACCAAATTTTATTTGTGCCATGATATACCATTTCATGCAAATGCAATGCGCCCGTGGAATTATCCTTGCACCAATTTGTTCCGGTGCCAAAGTGTCTATAATTCAAAATTCAAATAGTTATGAGTAGAAAAGAAGTCAGTGGTAAAGTGGGAATTTAAAAACAGACTCATTTACTTGCCTTTCAGCAAAAACCATTTCATGATGTAGATTTTACTGGATGATTGAATGACACTTTGTTCCTCCCACTTACAAGGCAATATTGAGTTCATGCTTCAACATGCAAGCTGTGTGACAGAAATCTTGTTCATTCTTACATATTCAAAGATATGTGTGGTAACAATATTACGTTTTATTTTATTTAAGAAGTTGTTAATAGATGTTAAATCATATTATGATGAGACTTCATGAAACCTGTTAGGTGTGCTGTATCTATTTTTTTGTTTTATTGAATAGCTGTGGTTACATGACCCAAGCTAGCTTCCTGTAGTAGCGAGCACATTCTGATCCTTTTTTCCAAATTATATGCGGTCTTTTATTTTCTTGTTCAAGTAAGTGGTCATTCTGTTGATAGTGGACTGTTCAGGTTTTTTTTGTTGTGTTTTACTGTTACGTCATATGTTCTAAATAGGCAAAAAGGGGGTAGCGGTTTGAGCACATAAAACTGGTTTTACCCCACAACAAGTTTTGTCTGTACCAAGTGATGCCATCTGGACCATGTGTTATTTATATGTGTATTTTTTTGGAGGAGTCTGGTGTTGGTAGTTTATGTGGTATGTTGTGCCGTCCAATGTTTTTGGTAAGTCCTGTTACCCATTATATGTATGAATGAAGTGACTAAGCACCATGTGGAACTTTAATCTTGATTCTAATATGACGTTCTTCTTTGGCTTTGAAAATAAAGCCATGTTCTAATTTCAATAAAACATGGGCTGCACATGATTCACGTCACAATTAAAAGTGCAACGTCAGTTGAATTTTGAACAACGCCGGAGATCAAAATGGACATATGTGTTGGTATTGCTCGCTAGGAAATAAAATAAAATCATTCAAAAAGTAAGTTTACATGTATATGTTCATTTTTTATCGTTAAACTGATGATTTTCTATAACGTTTATTGTTCATTAAATTAAAATGGCTGCCTTTCGAGCGTGTATTATAGATCCTCTTCGAAGTACAAACGTTCAAATTTTTCCTATTAGAATCGAGATAATTCTATCATGCCATGCTCTATGCTCATTTTAACATGGGTAGGCATTATATTTGTTAACATTTAACACCTCGCTTACGGTCGGTATTAAGATATTGACAAATATAATGCCTACCCATGTTAAATGAGCATAGAGCATGGCATGAAAGAATTATTTCTTAAATAGAATTTCTTATCTTAAAGATCACATTCTATTTGCATACTTCCATGGGTTTCTTACTAAAAGATAGGTTAACACACTACTCTTAACTGCTAATATAAGAATTGTGTTATGATCTTTGCAGATAACAGACTATTTGTAGACTCAATAAGCCTAATTAGCATACAATGCTCTCTCTCTTGCATTTGTGCAATCTTAAATAATGCTAAAACTTTTTGAACAATGATAGAATGTTTTCAAATCAAGCCAAAAAATGCATTAACATTTTTCCTTCTCAATTTTTAAGTTCGTCAGATACAAATTGTAAAAAGACTTGATCCCTATATTTACAGTTTGTGTTAGCTGGCAATGACAAGAATGTTTTCAACTAATAAATAGTATAACCAGAAAAACTCCCATTTGTTTTTTAACATCATTTAAACAAAGATCAGTTACAGACTATAAGTGTAAAGGCTAGTTGATATACAAGATAATACAAGATAATATCACATATGTTTAATAACACAAGGAAACAACAATACCAAGACAGATGATAAACGTATTTCAATACAATCACAATAAATTTACTCGTAAGCACAGATATCATTATGCAGTAAATCTACTTTTATCCAACTGTAAAACTTCAATGAACTACATGTTAAAAATATTTACATTTAAGTCTAATGCGGATATACATCATAACGGCTATTCCAAAATCCTTGTAATAACAAACTCTGGTTCTGGTTGATCTTGGGGGGAATTGGAGGATTCTGTGTTGATCTTTAACAAAACATTGAGTTTTTTTTGTGTGAGGTAGAAGAACATCATTAACAACCAATTAGTATATTACACATGATACGTCAGGGTCAACTAAGAGTCCCCTCCAACCCTCAGTGCTGTAATTTTAAGAAAAGCCAAAATGAAAAATACATTTATATTCTCAAGCAGATTAAAAATTTAAAAAAATTAATTATTCTTGTACAACACCTTGGTATAATAATAATAATGACATATCATACCCTATCAATACAAGACCTTACTCTTTCACTTTTAGAAGTTGTCAATAATACTGATAAAGGAAAGTGAAAAAACCAATATCTGAAATCAAAATGATAGTGATTATAACATCAAAACCAATGTATCAACTTAGAACTTTGCTATATTTACTCATATTTATTCTGTATATAATATATAAATAAAACTGCAATAACGGAATTAGTAAACTATATGACACCAGCATAATAAGATTTGTTCATATATAGTTGTAACCAAATATTTACATGGTAAGCATATTATCTGTATAAACATTGTGGAATTCTGTCTTGATCCATTGAAGCATGTTGCCATGATTATGAAAGTCACATGTTGTGTTCACATGTCTATCATGTGATTTCTCTTCTCAGTGTTGTGACCATTTGATTTGTTTGATGTCTATACCTTCCTGTACCATTTCCCATAAAGGACTGAAATAAAAGAAAGCAATCAATAACTGTAAAATATGCAGAATAGTTACTTATATGTACTGTAGTTTCATAAAATAAAAGAATTATTATATATATATTAATGCAAAAGGATGGAAAGTAAAACAGCACACATCAAGACTCCTAAAAAAAAAAATATTGAAAAAAAAAGACAAACAACAAGAAGTAACACATGGTAGAAATCCAGGCTAATGACACACTGCTTAAAGAATTTGGTAAACAGGACATAGAAAAGCAAAGGAAAAAAGGCTTCACATAGTTAAGAATCAAAAAACACATGACACAGAACAGCCTGTTCACATGAAACCTGATGACAAATTTTAGGAGGCTCTAATTTAAAATTCCTGAGAAAAAGCGATGGAAATCTCATGGGAGGGACTAACATATTGTTGAACATACAGACAGGGGTTAAACCTTACTTCTTCATTGTTGCAAACAAGCACATTTTTGAATTAAAAGAAAAGTTGTGGTTCAAATTATTATTCTAAGACATAATTATGTAAACAAATGTCAGCAAAAGACTATCGTCTAAAATAGTGTAAATTCAAAAATCATTACCTTCATTTAGTAAGAATATTGATCAACTGACAAAAAAAATGAGACATTTTTATGAGATTTTCAATAATGCTGCTTAAATAACACTGTGTATTTAAAATGTGATGTGTATCCTTTGCATTTTCTTTATAGAATTATAATAGAAATTTCTACTTAATAGCATACCTCATTTCTCTGAGTCTTGTTACATGTTTGACTGTCAGTTCAGCTGTATAATCTATTTCTTCTTCTGTTGTAAATCTTCCAATACCAAATCTAAACACAAAGACTCATTTTAAAATGTGTCTCTTGCAAAACAATTAGCTATTTCAGAAAATATAATTTATTTATGAAAAGGTTTTGTTTAAATAATCCAAAACAAAAAAATTGATTTCAAAACGTGATTACTCATTTCTCTCTACAATTACATAGATGTTCTGAACCAATTTTGTCAGAAATATTGTACTGACGTTCTTTCATATAAAATTCATTTCATTCAAAACAGGCAAAAAAGCTGGCCACCAGAGGCAATTCCCTATTAGATTGGTTAATTCTAAAATTTCTTTCACATGTAGAGGTCTTTCCAACTGTGCAGGTATGATTGGGAGTCACTCTAAAAAGCATCCTCAATTGCTGTTCATCATTCATTAAAGTTCATAAAGAGTTTTGATTTCTAAAATAAATATTGTCTTACCTGATTGACGAGTGAGCTAGGTCATCATCAGCCCCAACAGCACGTAACACATAGGAAGGTTCTAATGAAGCTGATGTACAGGCACTACAAGGCAAAACAGACAAACATAGTGATACTGACTTACATGTATTTGAATGCAGGATATTTACATGTATCAAATGACATACATGCATTTAAATAAAGATTTACATTTTGTGTGTTATCTCTCTTTGGCATCTGTACAAAATCAAAACAATGTAGCTTTCAGTAAGACCATTCTTACCAAAAATTATCATGTATTCCACACAATATATGGCAACCTTCTCATTTTTTCTTATTTGTTGAAACGGTTTTCCGTCAATTCCATTTATCAATTAGTTTAAAATTCTAGGTTATTAAAATATTTGATTCATTGAATAGTTCTCAATGTAGGCCTTCAAGTATGGAAGTATCTATTTATCCTTGGTTTTCAAATTTTTGATAAATTCATTCCTGATGAACCTAATTTCAGGAAAGCATCTAGGACTCATCAAATTTTAAAGTGCTATTTTCATTCCCTGAAACTCTGTAAAGCAGTGTACTTAACCCTCCTCATCATTACTCAAAACTATCTTTAAATGAAACAAGATAATGATTCCATCAGACATTTATATTGTACACTTCAAAACAGGAAATAAGATTTGTTCTTTTAAATGATTTAAACAAATGGGTAGGTTTGTCTCTGTTCCCAGAATGCTTATCCAGATAAATATAGTGATGACTGCCAATCTTTTTTGGCAGTTGTTCATGCTTTGAACCGTATTTGTTTTAAATAGGAGCTTAAAAAGTTTTAATTTTTCAATTGGTTTATAATTTGTATATCAATAAATTTACAGTGTCTCAGGTATCATAGTACAATAATCATGGCTGACTGTTTTGTTATCCTATTTACCATAGGCTTCTATAACCAATATGTCAACTTGATCATGATTTTCATGAATATTTTACCTTCCTGAAGATAGAGCAATATCTTTAAGTGCCATTAACAAACTTTCTCCTTCCACATAAGCAAAGGACAGATTTATGCAGCCTGAAATTATAATACTCATATTAAATGAAATACAATTCAGATGTACAACATTAGAGTTTTTTTGTGGAGGTGGGAAACACATGTATGCAAATGACAATAAACTGCTTCGCTGAGTGCAGCTGGATACGACCGCAGAGGTCCAACCCTGAACAGTTGGGGCAAAAATGGACACAATATTCAAGCTTGATACAGGTCTGAATTTGGATTGTAATTAAATAGTTGACACATTATAGGTTTCTGACACAGAATAAATGTAGTCAAAGAACTTGAAGTTGGTTATATGATTTGAATTTATATTCAATTGAAGATTTCTTGCTGTTGTGCAATACACTGTGCTGTTGCGCAATACTTAGTAAATCTGTTTTCAGACTATATACAAAGAATTAGCAAAATAAATTGCCCCAATTTTTCTTTGGAAAATTGACAATTTCTTAAATCTTGAGGAAAAAAAAAATTGACCCCCCCATCAAAAAAATTTTGTTTTACCCCCCCCCCCCCCCCCCCCCCCCCCCAAAAAAAAATTATATTTGAAGAAATTTTCTTTTTAATTTCTTAAATCTTGAGGAAAAAAAATTGCCCCTTTTTGTAAAATTGTAAAATGTGGTACAATTTAAGAGACATCCTTACACTTAAACACAAGTTATTGTCTGAAAACTAGAAAAATTCTTGTTTTTGACCCTTTTTGGCCCCTACTTCCTGAACGGTTTGGGCAATTGCCCCCAAAATAAATCCCAACCTTCTACTTGTGGTATTGAACTTGTATTGATACAATTTTCAGAGCATTCAAAATACTTATACACAAGTTATTGTCCTGAAACTAGAAAAATGCTTGTTTAAGGGCCCATTTTGGTCCCTAATTCCTAAACGGATGGGACCATCACCCTCAAAAACAACCCAACCTTCCTTTTGTGGTATTGAACCTTTTGGTTAAATTTCATAGAGATCCATACACTTAAACTAAAGTTATTGTCTGGAAACCAAATGTCTTCGGACGCCAACGATGTCGTGATAGCAATATACGACAGCAAAAACTTTTTTGCGTATAAAAAACGGCTATGACTTTCAAAAATGATTGTCACAACAACAGTTTTTATATTCAATCAAATGAAATTTAATTTCTGAATGAAAAAATAACAGAACTTCAGATTGAGTTCACTTTAACTTAAATATTTCACCTGAACAAGTAAAATCAGTCATGAGCTAATGTATAAAATTTGGATTATTGTTTGTTCATGGAAAGGCATAACTCTACTCAGCTGTTTACCCTATTTATACGCCATCAGTAGTTTGCATACTATCTATCAGTAATTGAGGGTATGTGTTGGTAGTGTCAATGGTGAGCATGGCAAAGTGACACAAAACTCCTTGGGGGGTATTGGAGCATGTGTTTCATACAGCAGTAAACCATAGTTTTTTGCCTGCTAACCATAATGCATATTTTATCAACAAATTTTGTATAAAATACAGACAATCCATACAGGCAATAATAATAAGTGAAAATTTCACATAACAAAAAGCTTCAAAGGTCAAGGACAATGGAAATATCACAGACTGAAACTTCCTATTGTTAGTCATCTATATACAAGGTATGAAGCAGAAAGGTCTTCTTCCTTCTGAAATATAAAGTTTGTTAGCTGCCGGGTTAGCATCCCTATGTTTAACATTCTGCCAATTTTATTGCAGACAAGACAAAAACAATATACTAACCTGGATAAGTCATATCTGGGTCACCATTTCTGATGACCTGTGGAATAGCATCTTGTACCTTGTGTAATAGTCTGTTTGATAATTCTACTGTTCTCTTATGATCATACTGGAAAATAAATTGTAAACATTTCATTTCACATTACAATAGATGCAATAAAATGCTCCGCTGGGGCTCAGCTTGATACGACCACAGAGGTCGAACCCTGAACAGTTGGGGCAAGTATGGACACAACATTCAAGCTTGATACAGCACTGAATTTGGATTGTAATTAAATATTTGACACAGCATAGGTTTCTGACACAGAATGAAAGTGGTCTAAGAACTTAAAAATTTTCAATTTACCTATCAAACTATATCATTATTATTTGCTTTTATATATAAATCAGAAACAACCAATTTAAAATTGAAAATTCTAAAGAAACAAAATGAAAAAAAAATCCCCCCCAATTTTTTTGAACCCCCTTATGATTCATCACCCCCAAACTCAATCCCAGCCTTCCCTTAGTGGTATGGTACCTTGCAGTACAATTTCAGAGAGATCCATTCACTTGAACAAAAGTTATTGTCTGGAAACTAGAAAAATGCTTGTTTTTTGGCCCCTTTTTGGCCCCAAATTCCTAAACGTTAAGGGCAATTACCCCCAAACTCAAACCCAGCTTTCCCTTTGTGATATGGAACCTTGCAGTACAATTTCATAAAGATCCATACACTAACACACAAGTAATTGTCCTGAAACTAGAAAAATGCTTGTTTTTTGCCCTTTTATGGCCCCTTATTCCTAAAATTTTGAGGGAATTACCCCCCAAATCAATCCCAGCCTTCCCTTTGTGCAATGGTACCTTGCAGTACAATTTCAGAGAGATCAATACACCTGAACACAAGTTATTGTCTGGAAACTAGAAAAATGCTTATTTTTAGCCCCTTTTTGGCCCCTTCTTCCTAAGCTTTTTGGTCAATAACCCCTAAACTCAATTCCAGCTTTTCCTTTGTGATATGGAACCTTGTAGTACAATTTCATAAAGATCCATACACTTACACACAAGTTATTGTCATGAAACTAGAAAAATGCTTGTTTTTTGCCCCTTTTTGGCCCCTAATTCCTAAAATTTGGAGTCAATTACCCCCAAAATCAATCCCAGCATTCCCTTTGTGATATGGAACCTTGTGATACAATGTCAGAGAGATCCATACACTTACACACAAGTTATTGTCATGAAACTAGAAAAATGCTTGTTTTTTGCCCCTTTTTGGCCCCTAATTCCTAAAATTTGGAGGCAATTACCCCCAAAATCAATCCCAGCATTCCCTTTGTGATATGGAACTTTGTGGTACAATGTCAGAGAGATCCATACACTAACACACAAGTTATGTCTGGAAGTTACAAAAATGCTTATTTTTGGCCCCTAATTCCTTAACTGTTGGTACCATTACCCCCAAAATCAATCCCCACCTTCCTTTTGTGGTATTGAACCTTAGGGTAAAATTTCATTGAAATCCATTCACTTAAACTAAAGTTATAGTGCGAAAACTAATGTGTCTTTGGACGACGACGACGACGCCAACGTCATACCAATATACGACCACAAAAATTTTTTTGCTGTCGTATAAAAATGACTTCATGGAAGTACCACATTTAAGCATTTCTGTTACACTGTATCTATGAATATGATAATTAACAAGCACATGGACCTGCATCACATTTGTCCTGCATCATGCATTTGTAGTCTCAAGAAAGTTGTCTAAGGCTTTTTGTCAACAATAATTCCATAATTTTGCACTAATATTACCTTATTTATCTTTCAAAATGGTAAGTAATGTAAAAGCTTATAAGCTAGGAAACACTTTCATTAAAAAAAACAAAACAAAAAAAAAACAGGTAAAAATATCTGTTTTAATGTGTTATTTTTTTGGGGTGAGTGGGAAGTATTCAAATAGAAGATGTTGGTGTTTTTACCTATATAAGACAAAAATCAAACCAAAGTACCTTGAAAAGCACCGGTATGCCACAGAGGTATCTTTTTCTTTGCATATCAAAATTGACAAATTACAAGGAACAAGCATTCTGTGAGTTTTGCATGGCAATACATAGTCCCCTACCGGTTACAAATTCATTGTAATGGAACGAAATTCTAACTTGATCTATAACTTGTCATGGTGTAAACTACATAAAATATCAAGTCAAAATCTTCAAGCATGACGAAAAAAACTGTTGAAAACTGATTATTTAAGTGAATTTTCTATGTCCAAAGACCATAACTCTGCACAAAATTATCAGACTGGAACAAAATTCCAACTTGATCTGTAACTTGTCATGATAAAACTAAATACTAATTATCAAATCAATATCTTCAAGAATGACAAACAAACCTACCACTTAATTCTTCAAACAATTTACCAAAGAAAAGGAAAAAAATCCAAAATGTCATTTTGTCTTTCAAAATATGAGTTATTTCCCTTTGAACAGAAATCTACTAATTAATAAGTATTTCATCAAAAATTTAATTCTAGGGAAAGGGCTTTAACTGAACAAAGAGAAAAGCTAAAATCGTGAAAATTGAACTTGTCCTGTAACTTGTCATGATAAATCAATAAACCAAATATCAAATCAATATCTTCAAGCACGAAGAAAAAAGTCAGGAAAACTGATTTGCCGGACTGACAGATGGACAGACAGACAGACGCGACGGAGTGCAAACCTACAGTCCCCTTAGACTTCGTCGGTAGGGGACTAAAAATCAATGTAAGATATCTTCTTTATCATATGCCCTTAAAGCATATAATCTTATTGGGATTTTTTCTTTCATATATACATATATTTCATTCATTTTAGAAAGCATATATATCAATCTGAATATAAGTTCTTACGACCTATAACATAGGAATTCAGAATATAGAGGTCAAAGATTGTTGATGTTGAATAAGTACAACACATACAAACAATTGAAAGTGCGAGCTACTGCTCACTGATGATACCCCTGCCGCAACTGGATAATTTTAATAGTGTAAAAATATGTAAACAGGAAGTTGTTGAGTGATGAATCTGAAAACGCATCACACAGTAAAGATGACTTATATAAACCCTGAAACCAAATTTCAGAAATCCTTATGATGTAGTTCCTGAGAAAGATGCGACGAAAAATATTTATGGGACGGATGGATGGACGGACAGACAGAGGTAAAACAGTATACCCCCACTTTTTTAAAGCAGGGGTATAATAATTAGCATAAAAGTTGAAATTGGTGTTACAGATATTTAAATCATTAATTGCAGTCAATTTTCATAAAAAGAACACCTTATATATCAGCTTTCACTATGACAGACATTGTGTATGTATGTGGTCATTGTAATTTGTACTGCAAACAGACTTTAACGACTAGTTTCAGTTATGTACATTTGAAAATTCTGTTGTATCAGTAATGAATATACCTCCATCTCTTCCATTGCCACAGCACAGGCTGACCCCATTCCTACACAGAGAGGGGTGGGGACAGTACCACTCCTCATACCCCTCTCCTGTCCTCCACCACTCTGTAGTGCCTCAACTCTAACTCTTGGACGTCTTCTAATATATAAAGCTCCAACTCCTGAGACAGAAAGAAAGTACAAACTCAATAATCATCATTATAAATGATAATATCTCTTGTACAAATATAATCAAAGAAAATTATCTCCGTAAGCTGTAATTAAGAAATATTTTTGCTGTTGCCAAAAGTTTAAAAATTTCTGTGATTTTTATTTATCTATTTTTTTCTTCTTCTTTCTCAAAAATATTGATCCTTCCTTTTTGAAAGATATTATGAAAGTTATATGGATATATTATAATCTAGAAGTGTATATATTTCAGAATTAAGATAACTAATAAGTACTAACCAAATCAAATTATTATATACTACTAATGTTTAACAAGGCCGGGATAAGGTACCAGTATTTTTTGTATCCTATTAACAAATTTCAGAATTATCAATAAAGTATGATATTATGATACAAAACAAGAATGTTTCCATAGTACACGGATGCCCCACTCGTACTATCATTATCTATGTTCATTGGACTGTGAAATTGGGGTCAAAACTCTAATTTGGCATTAAAATCAGAAAGATCATATCATAGGGAACATGTGTACTAAGTTTCAAGTTGATTGGACTTCAACTTCATCACAAGAGTGCACACGCTGAAATGTCTCGCCTTCTTTACTAATCATTGATATTATGTTGATAGTCCTAAATATAAAGCTTTATTAAAATTGTCACATAAACTTAACATTAACCAAGAAAACTAAACATTGACCAATGAACCATGAAAATGAGGTCAAGGTCAGATGAACCGTGCCAGGCAGACATGTACAGTTAACAATTCTTCCATAAAACAAATATAGTTGACCTATTGCTTATAGTTTAAGAAAAACAGACCAAAACACAAAAACTTAACACTGAGCAATGAACCGTGAAAATGAGGTCAAGGTCATATAAAACCTGCGTGACTGACATATAGATCATAAAATATTTCCATACATCAAATATAGTTGACCTATGGCATATAGTATTAGAAAAAAAGATCAAAACTCAAAAACTTAACTTTAACCACTGAACCATGAAAATGAGGTCAAGGTCAGATGACACCTGCCAGCTAGACATGTACACCTTACAATCATTCCATACACCAAATATAGTAGACCTATTGCATACAGTATAAGAAAAACAGACCAAAACACAAGAACTAAACTATAACCACTGAACCATGAAAATGAGGTCAAGGTCAGATGACACCTGCCAGTTGGACATGTACACCTTACAGTCCTTCCATACACCGAATATACTAGACCTATTGCTTATAGTATCTGAGATATGGACTTGACCACCAAAACTTAACCTTGTTCACTGATCCATGAAATGAGGTCGAGGTCAAGTGAAAACTGTCTGACGGGCATGAGGACCTTGCAAGGTAAGCACATACCAAATATAGTTATCCTACTACTTATAATAAGAGAGAATTTAACATTACAAAAAATGTTAACTTTTTTTTCAAGTAGTCACTGAACCATGAAAATGAGGTCAAGGACATTGGACATGTGACTGACGGAAACTTCGTAACATGAGGCATCCATTTAAAAAGTATGAAGCATCCAGGTCTTCCACCTTCTAAAATATAAAGCTTTTAAGAAGTTAGCTAACGCCGCCGGATCACTATCCCTATGTCGAGCTTTCTGCGACAAAAGTCGCAGGCTCGACAAAAAACTACCTTGACCAAAAACTTTAACCTTAAGCAAGACAGACGGATGGACAAACAAACGGATGCACAGACCAGAAAACATAATGCCCCTACTACTATTGTAGGTGGGGCATAAAAAAAAATTTCTCTTCTCACATTAAGTACATGCTATGATACTAAATTTATGAAATAGGGTATTCACATCAAGATTAACAACACCAAATATTTAACAGTGCTATAAGCACTTGGATATCTCATACCCCATTTAATCCCAATAGGGTTGAAAATGTTGACTTTTAAATCTAAAACCAGTTAGTAATTAAAAGGATTGTTCCAATGAAAGACAACATCTATTATCTATCAAGTTTTTTTGTTGTTGAGATTTGTGATTTTTAAAACAAAACTCACTAAGTAGGGGCTTTTTATTCAAACAAATTATTACATGAAAACTGTAGTCATTTTTCAAAAACAAAAACAGGTGGCAAATAATACGATCCCCTGGCATCAGACTAGTGCTGTTAAACACTACTATTACAATGTATAAAGTTTTTTCCATATGTTGGTCTACTTTGATTGCATAGAGTACCAGAATTGTCAATCCTAATAGAAATGACACAATGAAAAGGGCAAGGCTTAATATTTTATATGTAAATATTTGAAAAGGAACCAGGTTAACTCTGGTTTACAATTGGGGTATGTCAAATTACAAGACTGCAATTCTGATACCTGGGCAATATGGGTATTTCAATGTTATACATACCTTTTGGGCCATATATTTTGTGACCACTGATTGACATGAGGTCAATATTCATGTCATTAACATTCATAGGAATTTTCCCTATGGCCTGAGCAGCATCTGTATGGAAGAATATTTTCTTGGATCTGCAGAGTTTACCTAAAATATTAGAAAAAAATCTGCATGTGAAAATTATAACAATAATTAAACAGTCTTTTTACAGTTTTTGTTAGATGTATTATTGGTTAATTGTTCTTTTTTTATTCACAATGAAAGCTAGAACCACCTGCAAAGACTTCAATAGCCCAATGCCTGTAGGTAACAAAGAAACTAATTTTACTTTAGTGAACATAAACAGGAGACATTTAATTGCACCTGGGTTTTTGGTACATAAAATGTACCCGAGGTGAATAAGGTATCATTCTTTCATCAATATACAGGATAACATTAGCTTTCTGTTTTAAGACAGAAACCTGTCCTGTTGATTTATGGTTGAGAACTCTTGTAATTGTATAGGTATTACAATCCTGCCTCATAAATGCTGGTTAAGGGTTACAGTATTCAAACTATTTAATAAAATAATAACCTATTTCATTGACTGGTTGTCTGACCCCAATTTCATTGTTAACAGTCATTATAGAGACTAATACTGTTTCATCTGTCATTGATTCTTCTAATAACTGAAAACAAAAATTCATTATAAACATGTTAGGTTCTATTGACATTGATTGCTATTTGTTTAATGCACACTGGAAAATAGTCCAAGTTTATCAGGAGTGAGAACAAATTTAAACAATGAAAAATTTGTATTTTATGCAAAAATGGGTCAACTTGGATAAATAGTAGGAACAGAGGGAAAAGAGGGTATGTTAGATAGGGACTGACAGTTTGCCCTACCACTGGCCACCTACAGTGGTTACAAGGGTTCTTTCAACATGCAGAGAGCATGGCACTCTCCCAACAAAGGACATCTTTTAACATCCCTCATTCCTATTGCATGGCTTTTTATTTACAAGATTTAACATGACATTTTATGAAGTACAAACGAAACAATCAGAGCAATACAATAGTTAAAAAAAAATTGAACTAAACATTCTAAAATCTTGATAGTTTCTACAATTCTTCTGATGGGAGGAGAAAACAGAAACTTCCATTTTTCAATAGCCTTTTATGGATAATCCAGACAAGAGTTTGCAAGGACAGAAATGTAATACTGCGGATTCATTTATTTTCAACCGTACCATTTTTGGGGGATTAACAAAAAATTGCATGCTTTTTGATATTTGATTTCGTGGTTGTGTAAAAGTTGAAACATCCACACATTGAGAAAATTTGTACTTGTTTGAATATCTAAATTTAAATAGCCAATAAATCCATCAAAATTAGTATCCCATGAATAATAATGAATCTTCAGTAATGTGATCTTCACTGAGCCATGACTATATAATGGTAAACTTACCTTTAGATTAATTTTTCTATTTGGTTGTACAGGTAAATAAGTAACTCTAGACTTACCTTTAGATCAATAATTCCATCTGGTTGTACAGGTAAATAAGTAACTCTAGATTTACCTTTAGATCAATAATTCCATCTGGTTGTACAGGTAAATAAGTAACTCTCGACTTACCTGTAGATCAATAATTCCATCTGGTTGTACAGGTAAATAAGTAACTCTAGACTTACCTTTAGATCAATAATTCCATTTGATTGTACAGGTAAATTAGTAACTCTAGACTTACCTTTAGATCAATAATTCCATTTGGTTGGACAGGTAAATAAGTATCTCTAGACTTACCTTTAGATCAATAATTCCATTTGGTTGTAAAGGTAAATAAGTAACTCTAGACTTACCTTATATCAATAATTCCATTTGGTTGTACAGGTAAATAAGTAACTCTAGACTTAACTTTAGATCAATAGTTCCATTTGGTTGGACAGGTAAATAAGTTGCTCTAGACTTACCTTTAGATCAATAATTCCATTTGGTTGGACAGGTAAGTAAGTTACTCTGAAACCTTCTGCCTCTAAAGCTCGACAAGAATCCAAAACACATTTATGTTCCTACAAAATATAAACAAGAATCCAAACTACATTTATGTTCCTACAAAATATAAACAAGAATCCAATACACATTTATGTTCATACAAAATATAAACAAGTCAATCCAATACACATTTATGTTCCTACAAAATATAAACAAGAATCCAAAACACATTTATGTTCCTATAAAATTATCAATTCTAAATCTTACTTCTGTTTTATGAAATTAAAAAATTCTCTTTAAGATTGAAACTGCAAAAATGTCTTTATTAGGCCAATTAAAATTAATTGATAGATTTTCATCCCCGCCCGCCTGGATTTTTCTTATTTTTGAATATTTACAATTTCTGGATTTTGTTCATTTCCGTTATCGGTAACCGTCGATACTTTTAGTTTTTTTGCAAATTTTTCGTTTTTCTTTGAGTAATTTAACCAAAATATTTAAGTCAACATATTCTGCTGCTATATGATGACAACAGTATCTTCTGCGATTAGAGACTGATTACGGAAGAACTGATACTCGAGTAATTGGCGGTATCCAAGAACGCAAATCGCGGTAAAGCACACATTTCAGTGATTTGAATTTTTTATTTAAACAATGACTTCGTGCCAGGAAATTTGGACTGTGAATGATATCCAAACACAAGAATCGTGGAACACATTGGTACAAAAACATGACTGGAATGAAGAAATTGACACAAGCAGGAATTAACTTGTGCGATTTATAGTCGTATATATTTTTGATCATTTTTTAGTACAAAAAGTCGGGCAACGTACAAAATGTATTTAAGAAAGGCTTAGCCCTTAGATTTACCACAAGGCTGTTGTTTTTTTGTTGACAAACATCAAACACTTTCTGTCCCCAGCCACTCAATAGAGTCATTAAACAACTTCTTCCTTTTGGTTAAGTTCATGTTTTACATTGTGAGTTAATAAAATAAAAACAATTTGCACCTTGCATAAGAATCTTAAAAGCATCAACCCTAGTATTTACAACACAGTTTGAGTTTTCATTTCACTATGCACATAAATGTACTCATAATACTTGTGTTGCATACACCTCATTTCATTGGCACTACAAACCGTAGCTTAGAAAGCAAACATATTTGATGTAGGTAGTCTAAAAGAGAGCATTTCTCCTTGTTTTTGCTATCTACTTAAAATATGTTTCTAAAGCGACAATTACATGCAGAACAGTCGCTGCCAATCAGAAATATTTATTTAAGAATTTGAAAAAATATGTAGAATTCCTTATATAAACATGATACAAGCTTATTATTATCCTTGCTTAAAAAGAACTCATTGTAAGGGAGTTTCGGAGGAAATAAAAATTAAATAAATGCATATCATATAAAGTTATAAAAGGGACATAACTGAAGAACGGTAAAAGTGACGCTACCCAAATTTGTACTTGATCTGAGTTTTGTGATAATAAGTATTGTGTATAAGTTTCATAAAATTTGGTTGAGGCTAACTTAAGTTAGAGAACAGAAACGGAAAATTCAGCAATTTTTCCATTTGTAAAGGGCATAACTCTAGAATGGTTAAAGTGACACCACCAAAATTCAAACTTGATCTGTATTTTGTGGTAATAAGCATTGTGTATAAGTTTCATAACATTTGGTTGAGGCTAACTTAAGTTAGAGAACAGAAACGGAAAATTCAGCAATTTTTCCATTTGTAAAGGGCATAACTCTAGAACGGTTAAAGTGACACCACCAAAATTCAAACTTGATCTGTATTTTGTGGTAATAAGCATTGTGTATAAGTTTCATAAAATTTGGTTGAGGCTAACTTAAGTTAGAGAACGGAAACTAAAAATTCAGCAATTTTTCATTTGTAAAGGGGCATAACTCTAGAACAGTAAAAGTGACACCACCAAAATTCAAACTTGATCTGTATTTTGTGGTAATAAGCATTGTGTATAAGTTTCATAAAATTTATATGAGGCAAACTAAAGTAAGAGAACGGAAACCAACTTTGGGACATACATACATACGTACATATGGACAAGGGTAAAATTTAATGCCCCATCCGCTACGGCAGGGGCATAAAATTCCACCCACCTGCCCATTTTTTTCAAACATTTGGATAAAAATCTACTGATTAATTTTAGTTGGTCTTATCAATGAACAAATGCATCCTGTGTTTGATTTCTCTCTGTTTAAGAATTCCTGTCATTTGAGGAGGGTCATATTATTGAATCTCTAAACAAACTTTGAATAAGCAAGAAATTATTTTCCCATATTTTTCATTTTTTCAGCAAAGAATCATGAAAATACATGCATGATCAATATGAATTCATGAAATAATTCTATTCTTATTTTAATGTTTATAACAATAAGAAGGTGATTAACTGTTGATAATTTAACATACTTTTCATGCTTAATTAGGCCAAGAAAACATTAACAATAACAATATTTTGACAGGATCTGAGATGTTTTATGTGGACCCATAGAAGGACAGATAATTTCTATGTTCACTGGAACAGCTGATTATTACATAGAGGCAGCAATTAACCCAACTGCAACCCCCTCTGTAATCCTCAGAAGTTATTGTTTGTGTCCTTTACAGTAAAATTCAATGAGCTTTGCATTCTCCAAACATGTGCTATGAATTATAAATGGTAACTTACAGTTTGTGTTGTTATAACATGGTTTTTCTTTGACTTATAAAATCTAGCCGTTCCTTTAACAGCTATGTTATTTGATTCTGTTGCACCACTTGTGAAAATTACTTCCCTTGGATCAGCTCCTATAAGGTCAGCTATTTGCTGAAACATAAATTGTAGTCAAGGTATAGTTATGCAGGATATGATGGAATTTTTTTTTGTATACATATCTTTTCTTGAAAAATCGTATACATTTGTAGACTATAATAGTGCATGTAGTACTATAGGGTTGAACATGTTAGTGAACACTCAATCCTCCCTTAATCTGAGACAGTGTTTTAACAGATCAAACTGTAAAATCAGTTGAAAAGTGGCTAGACTCATAAGCTTGGTGCTAATTAAGCACAGAAAACAACTTACATAATGACAAAAGACACAAAGTATCGACCTAGGAGTGGATAGTTGTTATATTGGCAATCATACCACATCTCCTTATTCTATATTTGGTCAATTTATGTGCTAGGAGCTTGTGTATTATTTATTGAAATACCAATAGAAGAATGTGCCCATGTGACATATATGTCCCCACCAGAACTTCCAAAAAATATTTATGCCAGCTGGACATTTTTTGTCTTATCCCGATTTTAATCCTTTAAGACTTAGTAATAAAAGCAATCATGGTAATCAGTTGGGCATCATATAAACAATGATTGACATAAAAACGACATTAAACTTAACTTTTGATACAAATTTGATGTACTGACGTAAACTGTTAAATTGACAGTGCATCATTCAAAGTGTGCAACATTAGCATACTAATATCTACCTTGGAATCTTTATTTGTGCAAAATTACATTGACAAAAACTTAATTTTTTTTTAGAAGGCACATTTTCTTATACCGGATGTTGACTTGACAATGGTAAAACACAGACCAGAGACGGATACCTAAAATCTGTACGTTTACAAAGCACAATTGGGTTTAAGTAATTCTTTCCAGGTTATTTCTTCAAGAAAATACTTGAAATGAATGTTAGACAAAGGTATCAATGATAATTTTCGCATTTTTGAAGAATTCTGATGCATAATTAAATCTCACACCTGCGCACATGTGTACTGGAACGTTTTGACGATTTTTCGCTAAAAACTTTATAACTTCCTTTTTAAATTTTTCATCAAATCATATTTTTATATGTATTTTTGATAATCTGAATCTTTTGACTTAATTAATTAGATGCAAACTGCTGAAATTTATGAAAATAATTTTAAACAGACCTATCAATGTCCAGTAAATATTAGTTTACCTGTCATCTGAACAGGTAAATTTCAACTGTCAGACAACTAATTAACCTTGATTGTAATGAGAAGTTATTAAAGTAGAATTTGTTTTGATAGTACTTATTCACCATGTCACTTTTATGACCGGAAATGTTGCTGTTTAAGGCAAAATGTCAGGTCAAAAAGATCGCAAATACTTCAATTTTTTCTGAATAATGTGAAAATGGCAAACCCACATTAAATGTCCGTATCAGGTTCGACACAACAAGTCATTATCATAATTTATCGGTCAAATCCGGACAATACGACCATTTTGGAAGCCCTGGTCCTCACTTGTAAATATACAAGAGTCAATGTACTAATTCAAACTTTTGAGCATGGAAATAAAACGTTTGGTCATTACATACATCAGTTAGAATGTGGACAAATAAATATTTCCAGTTATAAAAGAGGCATGATAACTCCAGAACAGTAAAAGTGATAGAGTGCGCAAAACAGCAAACTTGGCAATTTTCCATCTATAAAGGGGCATAACATAAGAACAGTGAAAGTGACGCCACCCACATTCCAAATTAATCTGTGTTTGGTGGTAATAATAATCATTGTGTATAAGGTACAGAACATTAGGTTGTGGCAAAGTAAAGTTAGAGTGGGGAAACGGCAAATTCAGCAATTTTTCCATTAATAAAGGGACAAAACTCAACAAACAGTGAAAGCGATGCAACCAAAATTCAAACTTAATCTCTGTTTGGTGGAAATAAGCGTTGTGTATAAGTTTCATAACATTTGATTGAGGCAAACTAAAGTTAGAGAACAGAAACCAGTTTCTGGACATTTGTATGGACAAGGGTAAACCTTAAAGAGAGAACTACTACTTATTTTTACAAATTCCTATATTAAAGTGATAATTGAACTGTAAGAGATAATACAAACTTTTCTGGCTTTTTCTACAGCTGCTTCACTTTCCCAGCCATAGGCATGAGTTCTGGAATGTGGATTACCATAAGAACCAACAAAGTACGGTAACATTGCATCCAATACTCTAGGATCCTGCAAAATAATAAATGTTTTGTTTATAGTAGAAATTACTACACTTAGTCAACAAATGACAGAATCCTCTAGCTCACTGTTGATACTCAGAGCAGATTCTAAATTCTCACCAATAATACTAAAAGCAATATCATGAATATTCCAAATACTCAATATATATGACATGAAGACAAAATTCAGAGTTCTCAAATTTCTTAATGCTCATCTCTAACTAAAAGCATAATTCTCAATGCTCATCTCTAACTAAAAGCATAATTCTCAATGCTCATCTCTAACTAAAAGCATAATTCTCAGAATCTAAAGGACCATGGATAATTTCATTGTTCATACCCAAAAATGAAAACAACGTCACATCATTGGTTGAATTTCAATTGTTTGAGGCGTTGTAAGCCTATCACAGTGTTCTGGTGTATGCTTTTGAAAATATAAACCCAGATTGCATTAGATTTTGCAACGGGCAATTCTCACCATATATGCATTGATACCAAGAATAGTGTTCTCAATGCTCACCATTTATACTAATTGCAAAATTCTCAATGCTCACATGTGATACTGAGAACATAATTCTCAAATCTCCCCACTAAAACTAATAAAATGCTTCGCTGAGCTCAGCCTGATACGACCGCAGAGGTCGAACCCTGAACAGTTGGGGCAAATTTGGATATAATATTCAAGCTTGATACTGTCTGAATTTTGATTGTGATCAAATTTTTGACACATTATAGGTTTCTAACACAAAACAAATGTGGTAAAAGATCTTACAAATCTATTGCGCAATACTGTGCAACTGAAGATTACTTCTTGAAACTTTTACAAAATTTGAAATTTGAAAATTTTTGAAAAAAATGTGAATTCCTTAAAAAAATTGGAAACCCCCCTTCCCCTCGCCCCCCGCGACTTTTGGAATCCCCCCTTGGAGCAATTACCCCAAGACTCGATCCAATTCTTTCCTTTGTAGTATGGAACCTTGTAGTACATTTTCAGAGAGATCCATACACATCTAACAAAAGTTATTGTTTGGAAACTAGAATAATGCATGTTTTTGGCCCTTTTTTGCCCCCTAATTCCTACATGTTTGAGGCAATTACCCCCAAACTCAATCCCAGCCTTCCCTTTGTGATATGGAACCTTATGGTACAATATCAGAGAGATCCATACACTTACACACAAGTTATTGTCCGGAAACTACAAAAATTGTTGTTTTTGGCCCCTTTTAGGCCCTTTATCCCTAAACTGTTTGCCCCATAACCCCTTATATGAATCCCAACCTTCTACTTGTGGTATTAAACATTGTTGTACAATTTCAGAGCAATCAAAATACTTATACACAAGTTATTATCCTGAAACTAGAAAAAATGTTTGTTTTGGGCCCCTTTTGGGCCCCTAATTCCTAAACGGCTGAGACCATCATCCCCAAAATCAATCCCAACTTTCCTTTCGTGGTATTGAACCTTCTTAAAAAATTCATAGTGATCCATTAACTTAAACTAAAGTTATTGTCCGGAAACCAATGTGTCTTCGGACGACGACGACATCATAAAATTGAGAATGGAAATGGGGAATGTGTCAAAGAGACAACAACCCGACCATAGAACAGACAACAGCAGAAGGTCACCAACAGGTCTTCAATGCAGCGGGAAATTCACGCACCCGGAGGCGTCCTTCAGCTGGCCCCTAAACAAATATATATACTAGTTCAGTGATAATGAACGCCATACTAAACTCCAAATTGTACACAAAAAACTAAAATTAAAAATAATACAAGACTAACAAAGGCTAGAGGCTCCTGACTTGGGATAGGCGCAAAAATGCAGCGGGGTTAAACATGTTTATGAGATCTCAACCCTCCCCCTATACCTCTAGCCAATGTAGAAAAGTAAACGCATAACAATACGCACATTAAAATTCAGTTCAAGAGAAGTCCGAGTCTGATGTCAGAAGATGTAACCAAAGAAAATAAACAAAATGACAATAATACATAAATAACAACAGACTACTAGCAGTTAACTGACATGCCAGCTCCAGACTTCAATTAAACTGATTGAAAGATTATGTCTTCATCATATGAATATCAGGCACAATCCTTCCCGTTAGATGTTTAGTATCATACCATCATAACATATATGAGAAGAACATAACCCGTGTCATGCCAACAACTGGTTTTTAAATAAATGTGTTTAGTGCCGATGCAAAGACCCTATAAGTGAATCAATATTAACGCCAAAATATGCAATCTTTAATGACCTGACAACAGTATCGTAACTATATCCCTTCTTAATAAGTCTATTTAAAGGTTTTGTTAGCTTCAGAGGTGAATACTGACATTTTTGTGCTTTATAAAGAATATTTCCATAAAAAATTGGATGTGAAATACCTGAACGTATAAGAAGTCTGCATGTTGAGCTATATTTACGAATGATGTCCTTATACCGATGATAAAATTTAGTAAATGTTTTGCCTAGTTTGTGATATCGAAAACCCTGGTGTAATAATTTTTCAGTAATACATAAATTTCTCTCGTTAAAATCTAAAACATTGTTACATACACGAGCGAATCGTACAAGTTGAGATATATAAACACCGTAAGATGGTGACAAGGGAACGTCACCATCTAAAAATGGATAATTAACGATAGGAAATGAAAAATCATCTCTTTTATCATATATTTTAGTATTAAGCTTTCCGTTAATGATATAGATATCAAGATCGAGGAAAGGGCAGTGGTCATTGTTAGTATTAGCTTTATTTAAAGTAAGTTCAACAGGATAAATTTCTTTAGTATACATACTGAAGTCGTCGTTATTGAGAGCCAAAATATCATCCAAATATCTAAAAGTATTATTAAATTTGTGTATCAGATGTTGTTTCGATGGGTCTTTGCTGATTTTTGTCATAAATTGTAACTCATAGCAATACAAAAAAAGGTCCGCAATAAGTGGTGCACAGTTAGTCCCCATTGGAATTCCGATAACCTGACGATATACGGAATCTCCAAAGCGAACAAAAATGTTATCTAGTAAAAATTCAAGGGCATATATAGTATCAAAGCATGTCCAATTCACATAGTTTTTTTGTTTATTGCTACTAAAAAATGACCTAAAAGAGTTTGAACATATATATTTACATTCTGACTTTTTAAATGCCCATTTAATTAGGTGTGTGAATTTTTTCTTAATGAGAATGTGAGGCAATGTGGTATATAGGGTAGAAAAATCAAAACTTTGAACAGATTCAAAATCACCAATATATGCATGCAATTTATCAAGTACTTCCAACGAGTTCTTGACACTCCAAAAGTAATTAATTCCATTATACAATCCCAAAAATTTGTTTGCGGTCGTATAAAAACAAATAAAATATGAAATTACGGTAAATATACTGTAGATTCAGAAATTATTGCTTGCAATTATTATTGCAGTTTTGTAAGAAAGGACAAAAATGTGAGATTAATTATTGTGATTTCCGAAAAATCAGCATACAGTTATATGTATCGGATATCAGGACGAGAATTCTTATCATTGCGATACTCATTGGAATCAAATTTAACCAAAATGAGATAAGAAAAGAATGCTTGTGATCTAAAACTTACCTCCTTTTTAAGGTTTATATAAAACATCACCCGAAAAAGTTAAAACCACAAAAATTGTATCAGCCAATCATCTTGTCCTTGTTTTGTAACCACAATAAAATTTATATGCAACAGTGAACGGAAGAAACTATAATGCCAAACAACCTTAGTTGTCCAATTACAAGCTTTGAAAGGCAATTACTTGTCTATTTACAAGCTTTTTAGAAATGCTACTAATTTTCTAATTGCAAAATTTTTAGGAAAGCTATTACTTGTCAAATTGCAAGCTTTTTATAAAAGCTATTACCATGATTACTAGTGTACATTATTTTATGGTTTAATTATTTGCTCTAAAGAAAGTATCTAAATATTTGTATTTTATGGAGTATTTTTGGTTTCCCCATACCCACAAAATTCACAAAAATTGGTAACCTACTATACATTTAATATCAATGAATCGTGAGTACTGATAAATATGTTGTTGCTTTTACATACAATTTATGTATAAATGTGTACATTATTTTTTCACTGAAACTAATTTCATGCACCTACTTTTATTTTGATAAGTGCCCTTGAAGAAAATATTTTCATCAAATAACCTTAAAATATTATTACCAATGGTGTGGTTGACTGAGTATCCATATACAGCGGTCTCATATCTTCTGGTGGCATGTCCTTCCTGGTCTCAAATGTATCAGGATGTTTAACTAGATAAAATATAAAACAATCTAGTAAAAAAATCAATTTACAAAAAAATAAATGGGGAATGTGTCCCATGATGCCCCCACTTGCAAACACTGTTATAAAGGGACATAACTAGAGAATGGTAAAAGTAACGCTACCCAAATTTGTACTTGATCTGAGTTTTGTGGTGATAAGCATTGTGTATAAGTTTCATAACATTTGGTTGAGGCAAACTTAAGTTATAGAACGGAAACGAAAAATTCAGCAATTTTCCATTTGTAAAGGGGCATAACTCTAGAACAGTAAAAGTGACACCACCAAAATGCAAATTTGATCTGTGTTTTGTGGTAATAAGCCTTGTGTATAAGATTCATAACATTTGGTTGAGGCAAACTTGTTCAAAAACGGAAAACGAAAATTCAGTAATTTTTTCATTTGTAAAGGGGCATAACTCTAGATATGTAAAAGTGATGCTACCCAAATTCAAACTTGATCTGTGTTTTGTGGTAATAAGCATTGTGTATAAGTTTCATAACATTTGGTTGAGGCAAACAAAAGTTATAGAACTGAAACTAAAAATTCAGCATTTTTTTTCCATTTGTGAAGGGGCATATGCCATAACTCTAGAATGGTAATAAGCATTGTGTATAAGTTTTATAACATTTGGTTGAGGCAAACAAACGTTAGAGAACTAAAACTAAAAATTCAGGAATTTTTATACGACCGCCAAAAAATTTTGTGGTCATATATTGGTATGACGTTGGCGTCGTCGTCGTCGTCCGGCGTCGTCGTCCGAAGACACATTGGTTTTCGCACTCTAACTTTAGTTTAAGTGAATGGATCTCCATGAAATTTTACCATAAGGTTAAATACCACAAAAGGAAGGTTGGGATTGATTTTGGAGTTATGGTACCAACAGTTAAGGAATTAGGGGCCAAAAAGGGGCCAAAAATAAGCATTTTCTAGTTTCCAGACAATAACTGTGGAACGTTGTATGGATCTCTCTGAAATTATACTACAAGTTTCCATACCACAAAGGGATGGTTAGGATTTGCTTTGGGGGGTTATGGCTCAATCCGTTTAGGAATTAGGGGCAAAAAAGGGGGAAAAACAAGGTTGTACTGGTTAATGGACAAATACTTTAGTACAAAACATAATTTAAAGCAGTGTAAGGGAGATAAATCAAATACATCATTGAAATTATCTCCCTTACACTGCTTTTAAATTATGTATAAAGTAATGGTTAATAAACAATAAAGATAATTTAAAACAGTGTAAGGGAGGTAATCCAAATACGTTTTGGTTACTTCCCTTACACTGCTTTCAAATTATGTTTAAAGAAATACATATTTATAAAGGAAGACCAGTAAAAATATCTGCAAATGTTGCATCATTTTTTTTTACAAAAAAATCCATATGAAAGATTTGACACTATATTTTTAATTCTATTATAAAATAGATTAAGTTAGCACTATGGTAAATTTAAATGGGTAATTATGGTTGCCAACTCCATTGGAAATTTGAATTGAGATTATCACCATATCTTGAGGGAAAGAATTTTTTTGGGGAAAAAAAGTGGGGGGGGGGGGGGGGGATAAAAAGAAATTGTGGAGGGTCAATTTTTTCTCATTTCAGATTTCAGAAATTAAAAAGAATTATTCCTCAAATGTTATTTTTTTTTCAAATTTCAAATATTGAAAAATTTCAAGAAGTAATCTTTAATTGCACAGTATGGCGCATTAGATTTGTTAAATCTTTGATCACATTTATTTATTTGTTATGCCGAATCTAACAGTGTATTTAGATTTTTAATTTTGGGTCCAGTTTTCAAAATAGTCTACATTAAGGTCCAAAGGGTCCAAAATTAAACTTTGTTTGATTTTAGCAAAAATTGAATATTTGAGGTTCTTTGATATGCTGAATCTAAACATGTATTTTTGATTATTGATTTTTGGCCCAGTTTTCAAGTTGGTCCAAATTGGGGTCCAAAATTAAACTTTGTTTGATTTCAACAAAAATTGAATATATGGAGTTCTTTGATATGCTGAATCTAACCATGTATTTAGATTTTTTATTTGTGGACCCCATTATCAAATTGGTTCATATTGAGGTCAAAAGGGTCCAAAATTAAACTTTGCTTGATTTCATCTAAAATTGAATTATTGGGGCTCTTTGATATTCCAAATCTAACCGTGTATTTAGATTTTTAATTTTGGGTCCTGTTTTTTAAATTGGTCTACATTAAGGTCCAAAGGGTCCAAAATTAAACTTAGTTTGATTTTAACAAAAATTGAATTCTTGGGGTTCTTTGATATGCTGAATCTAAACATGTGTTTAGATTTTTGATTATGGGCCCAGTTTTCAAGTTGGTCCAAGATAGGGTCCAGTATTTAAACTTTGTTTGATTTCAACAAAAATTGAATATATGGGGTTCTTTGATATGCTGAATCTAAACATGTATTTAGATTTTTGATTATGGGCCCATTTTTCAAGTTGGTCCAAATTGGGGTCCAAAATTAAACTTTGTTTGATTTCAACAAAAATTAAATATATGAGGTTCTTTGATATGCCGAATCTAACCATGTATTTAGATTTTTTATTTGTAGGCCCCGCTATCAAATTGGTTCATATTGAGGTCAAAAGGGTCCAAAATTAAACTTTGTTTGATTTCATCAAAAATTGAATTATTGGGGTTCTTTGATATTCCAAATCTAACCGTGTTTTTAGATGTTTAATTTGGGTCCCGTTTTTTAAATTGGTCTTCATTGAGGTCCAAAGGGTCCAAAATTAAACTTAGTTTGATTTTAACAAAAATTGAATTCTTGGGGTTCTTTGATATGCTGAATCTAAACATGTGTTTAGATTTTTGATTATGGGCCCAGTTTTCAAGTTGGTCCAAGTTGGGGTCCAAAATTAAACTTTTTTTGATTTCAACAAAAATTGAATATATGGGGTTCTTTGATATGCTGAATCTAACCATGAATTTAGATTTTTTATTTGTGGGCTCCGCTATCAAATTGGTTCATATTGAGGTCAAAAGGGTCCAAAATTAAACTTTGTTTGATTTCATCAAAAATTGAATTATTAGGGTTCTTTGATATTCCAAATCTTACCGTGTATTTAGATTTTTAATTTTAAGTCCCGTTTTTTAAATTGGTCTACATTAAGGTCCAAAGGGTCCAAAATTAAACTTAGTTTGATTTTAGCAAAAATTGAATTCTTGGGGTTCTTTGATATGCTGAATCTAAACATGTGTTTAGATTTTTGATTATGGGCCCAGTTTTCAAGTTGGTCCAAGTTGGGGTCCAAAATTAAACTTTGTTTGATTTTAACAAAAATTGAATATATGGGGTTCTTTGATATACTGAATCTAACCATGTATTTTGATTTTAGACATTGGACCATAATAGGTAAATTAAAAAAATTCAAGTTCTTAGACCACATTCTTTCTGTGTCAGAAACCTATGCTGTTTCAAATATTTAATAATCCAAATTCAGAGCTGTATCAAGCTTGAATGTTGTGTCCATACTTGCCCCAACTGTTCAGGGTTCGACCTCTGCGGTCGTATTAAGCTGCGCCCCAGCGAAGCATTTTATTCCATTTGTAAAGGGGCATATGCCATAACTCTAGAATGGTAAAAGTGACGCCACCCAAATTCAAACTTGATCTGTGTTTTGTAGTAATAAGCATTATGTATAAGTTTTTTTTATTTTGGCCTTACTGAAGTGTTTACAGTTTTACTTCTCAAATTACTTGTTTCAGTGATTTTAAAAAGTCTGTGAAAAGTTTTGTGTAAATTTTTCAATTTTTCACAGCTGAAATCACTTGAAAATGTGATTCTGAATTGTAAAAGTAGTATCCCTGACTGATATTTTAATGATAAAGAGACCAGAAGAATTTTGTTAAACAAAGTATGGGTTGCTATATACAACCCATACTTTCCATACCTTATCGCTATTTGTCCGCCATTACCATGATTACTGGACATCACAAAAGTTCCCGTAAAATTTTGACGTCATAATAGAATATATCTGACGCCACAATGGAAAAGTGATTGTTGTATGACATCAAAAGTTCAAGCGGAACAGGTCCTCGGGTCAAGCGTTGAAGCGGGACAGATTTCCAAATAGTGATAAGGTGTATTGTATTTGCTATGAACATGTTCTGTATTTAAAAGATCTATATTGCAATAAGCCTACTAACACAGCCTCAAATTAAATTCATGTTCTTTTAATATGTGTTTTTTATTAGTTCCGTGAACATTGAGAAACAACGTGTATCAGTGTATGTATCTTTCAGTTTCTTTTTGACACAAGAATACCTGCAACTGCAACTTTCTGAGCATTGTCAGTCACGTTCGCCTGCAAATATCTCTTAGTTGTATGTGATGTGCTGTTCACAACCTGTAATACAAAGCGAAAATTTCTGAAAAGTCGTGCCATTTTAAATTTATTTTCTTCTGTCGAAATTTGCTTTACATAATGATATTATTATGCAGTCAAACATCTACAGTAGGCTGATATCTAACAAGAACCACTCAAACAACGTCCAAGTACCAAAACACACAAATACCATCAAAAACGCACATAATTGCTTCGGGTGGGTCTTTTCACCACCGAACACCACCGCACACCGCCGAACACCCAAAAAAAAACCATCAACCACTAAGAAAATCAGTGATTTTGTATACAATAAAACGGTAAAATAAATTAAATTACGTCTAATTTAACAAATTTTTAGATGTTAATGTGCATCATTTTTCTGTTTAAAGTCGATTATCATAAATAATCAATATCAAGAAAAACGTCTCCGGATCCATCACTATTTTTCCGGATTACATTGTGTGTGTATAAGAATCATTTGACATCAATTACTTCTGAAGGATATTAGTTATTCGAAATATTTAACATTTGTTCATGTCTCTTTTCTTATTATTGTAATAACTATTTTATAAAAGAAGGAAAAAAATGAAGAAGAAAAAATTATTTGAGGTGTCCGGTGGTGGTTTGCTGAGTTGTAGTGTCATAGACTCTTCTTTTCTGTTCGATGTAGATATTTGTTCTCTTAACCTTATTATTTGTTGAATTAATAACTCAAATATTATATTTAGGTCACATTTATAACAATAAGAGATAAAAAAAATAATTTTTGGGGTGTTCGGTGGTGTTCGGCGGTGTGCGGTGGTGTTCGGTGGTGAAAAGACCCACCGGAATTGCTTCATGTTCAAAATAATAAAAATGTTAATAATGCATTACCAAGCATTTAGATAGTAAGACTACATAAATCCTTTTTATTACCGAGACTACTATAATCAGAGACATATATACACGGGGTGTTGCTAAACGGCGGAAACGGAATACGGAACGAAAACGGAAACAAAAAAAAAACATTGACATATATGTTCCGTATTCCGTTTCCGCCGTTTAGCAACACCCATATACACGTGCATGATTTTCATATCAATTTTAACAGCATTTTAGAATATTTATATGTTTCAATTAAAGTTATCTTATAAATTTTTGAAAACTATCCTTGTCAACATTTATGGGGAAATAATTACAGAGCTGAAACAGAAATTTGAACATTAAAGAATAAATATAAAACTGCATGCAAATAGAATTATTTGTGTTCATATACAATATATGTACATTGTCGGAAAATATCAAATTTATTTGTATGAGCTTTAGAAACAGGACGAAAAGTGAGGCTCGCCGAGCTTTTCTCCTGTTTCGCAGCGAGTACAAATAAATTTTATATTTTCCGACAATGTACATATATATTGTTTTTATCCTGAAATTTACACCCAACACTTGAAACTTTAGTTGTTAAAATCTAAATCATAGTCTCTAATTTTTCAAAGAAATCGACGTAGTTTAAACGCGGACCGCGAAGAGGACCCCAAAATGAACTGGTACGCAAAAAGAAATATCCACATTACCGCTTGCTCAACATGGAAGAGGAGTAACAGGAGACTTTATTTGTACAAGTACATGTAGAAATACAAATAAAGCAAAAATTTATTTGTGTACCTGTTATTTGTACAATAGTTGGCTGATTGCAGGATAAATACATTTATTATGTGTACAGTATTGCATCATTGAACGATATTTAAATCTTAAAAGACAATGTTGAGTTTTCCGACAACAGGTGTTCACTATTTACAATGATCGTATATAATTCTAGCGCGTGGTATTGCATAGGCTGGCGTGCGTACTTAGTTAAACTGAGTTAAACTTGTTAATTGGATTTTATTTTAGCAATAAAACTAGGGACACGCGTAACGCCATTCTTATATTTATGAATTACCCTAGGCAAAAACAATGAATTGCACTGTTAGTTAAGGAAACAATATTTTGTTTTTGTTTCAATAAATTCTTCTAAAGAAAGTTGAAAATCTTTGTTTTGATTACCTTAAAGCTGGAAACAGAATATCTATATATGTTCCTGCTTAAAGTTTGTATATTGTGCATCATGATAAAAGTAAATACAAACTTCAACATATTCTTGATAATGATCAAAAGGTACATCCCGATTTTTTTAAAAATGATTATTTTCTTCATCTATCAGTATAATGAAATAATGAAAATGATTAATATAGATTTCTTGACGATATTTGTTTTCTTGTCACTAAATATAATCGTCTTGTCGGCAATTAGTGAGACCCGTTAGTTCTAATCAGTGATTAGCTACCGCATTCTCCAGTTAAAGGGAGACTAACCCCCGAGTAAGTTTTACAAGCGGTCGAAAGGACAAGATTGAGTGGTCAGATGTTTTGTGGAAAACAGGATGCTAAGAACTTTTCCTTTGAAGAGGATTGACATAGGCTTAAAGAAAAAAGTCTTCCCACAAAACTTTGAACAAGTTCATACGAAAGGACAAATTGAAAGCGTTAGAAGATTTTTCTTAAAATTTAAACAGAAGCATGGGTATTTAAGTAATTCAGACGTCGCATTGTTGACTCGAAAACAAGTCTCATCGATATTGAAAATAAACGAAGTTTCAGTGGATGCAGATGGCCCTATTAAAAACTTTGAAGTGAATAAATTACCAGCAAATAAACCGATAGAAGATCGTGACACGGTAGCAAAGTTGACTCATGGAGAAAAAAACAAGTACATTTTCGGAGTTTATGATGGACATGGTGGTAGTTCATGTTCTCAAGCTCTCAGTGAACGTTTATTTAACTATATTTCAGTCTCAATGTCAACACAAGACATTTTGAAAGACATTGCATGTGAAAACCATGGACATGACAAACTTGTAGACTGGTATCCTTATCAGTCACAGTACTTCAATCATGAGCTTGATCAAATATACAAGGATAACTTGGCTAAATTTGCCAAAGAAACATTAGCAAACTTTGAAGAATGCTCAGTAGAAGAACATTTGCGGCATGCTTTTCTCCGTCTTGATCATGACATCATGTCAGAATGCTTGCCAGTAGGTCATGACTTAAGCATAAATGATCAAGCTTTAGAAAATGGTTTGTCAGGGTCTTGTGCTTGTATTGCATTGGTTGATGATATAGATTTGTATGTTGCTAACACCGGTGACTGTAAAGCAGTTTTAGGAGTTGAAGTTGATAAGGACCATTGGAATACAGTAGAAATGTCACATGCACACACAGGTTACAACTCAAAAGAAGTGAGAAGAGTTTTAAACAGCCATCCCAATGAATCTTCCCATGTGATCAAAGGGGGTCGTCTCTTTGGCAGTTTAGCACCATTAAGGGCATTTGGAGACATGATGTATAAGTGGTCTGTTAAGGAACGTAATCAATATCTGAAACTTTTCAAGCAGCACCCTAATTTCAATGTATACAGTGAAGTTTTGATGCATGAACATTACATAACACCACCTTACCTGACAGCAGAGCCAGAAATCATTCACCGTAAATTAACTCCTAAAGATAAATTTTTAGTTATTGCATCAGATGGTCTGTATGACATGATTCCGCCTGAAAAAGTTGTCAAACTGGTAGCAGGACATATGGAAGGAAAACAGGTACTGGTGGATCCAAATTTTGATATTAAGGGTCGCACTATAAAAGAAATCAATCAACGTCTCAGACAAAGAAAATCTCATCTGTCTAATGTGCCAACTGATGACAATGTTGCGACACACTTGATGAGAAATGCTCTGGGTCCAGAACATGGAAGACTGTCGACTATGTTGTCTTTGCATGATGATATTGCAAGAAGCTATCGTGATGATATTTCTATAATTGTAGTTTTCTTTGACACAGATTATGTGAAAAATTTCTATGTAGAAGCTGAACGTGATATAGATTGTATAGATTGAGGTGTGAATGATAAGTTTAAAAGATCAGTAGTTTATTTGTGGCACTAGCTTTCGATTGTTAAAGAACAAAATCAGTTGAGGATAAATTTGAGACCTAACTACATGTATGAATGTAAAAAAAAAATAGTTCCCCTAATTAAATTGAGATGGGTTTTTTTAAATGTTTTTTTCCCATTTAACTGGACTGTTAAACATTGTTTGGTGTGACAGTGTTAGACCAAGTAAATTGTACACTACTAATTTTTGATAAGAAATTAAACATTTTTGAAAAAATTTCATGATGTACAAGCTTTTCATTTGAACATGCTGATGTTTATCACAGGGCTGTTTTCGTGGTTGCTAGAATTGGGCATACATGTATATGGTTTCAAATATTTTTTAGATATTTTTGAATGCATACAATGTATGATGTTCATGCACATGTGTACAGTGTACCTACATGTAACATACACAAATTTGCATGTATTTCCTTTATTTTACAATGTAGATAAGTTTCAAAGAATGATTTATGGCCATCATGATCATCATAATACATGATCATGGTAATCATTAATATGACTAAGGCTTTACAATTGTAATAATTTTTTGTAAGCCACAAAGCATTGCAAAGTGTACAACTCCTTATAATATATGTTTTTATATAGTCCAGATTTATTTTAATATGAAAATATGAATGGAAGTTTTGGTTAAGAAACCCTCTTTTTCTTTATATTTCTTGTATATTCATGCATGTACATTGTATATATATATATTATATATATACAGTACACACAGAGAGGACATATTCTCATACTCCCAACACTGATTCTGGTGTAACACAGTGTCACACTGTGAAACACAGATTTCTCTCCCAAAAAACTCCAAGTAATTACTCCCATCTGGGAGGATTTTATGACTTGTTGATTGCAGGTAAAAGTAATAAAAATCAACAAAGCATGACTATGGTCTGACATTGACAGGTAATTACAGGTCAACTATTCTAATTACTTCATCCTATTGAAATATATCTTTAAGTTTTATTTCTGAAATAATTTAAAAGGTAATGAAATGAAATTTTAAAATTTATATAAAATATGTATTGATATTTGTTTTTGTTTATCTTATAAGATTGGAAAATTATTAACTTTCTTACATCATTTGTACATTATCAAGAATGACTAGTTTTATTTGTAGTCAGGTTATAAAAAATATTTAATGATAAAAACAAATATAAATGTCTGAAAAAAAATTGAAATTTTAGAATTCCTCCATTAGTTTACATTTAAATCTAAAAGAAAGATTGAATAAATTCAGTAAAACATGTCTTAAATTCCAATAATTATAATCATCTTATATAAACATGTGACATTTTAATATTTTCTATATAAATTTGATGTACTTCAAATTTTACAAATCATTTCAATGTGACTGCCATTTAATGACAGGAAACTTAAGAAATGTTTATTGAAGTCAACAACTACTGGCACACTTCAAAGGTAATTATAGCAATAAAAATCATGGTGTTGGGAGGAAAGACACCAAGGTAATAAACAATTAAGGAGTTTTAGGGAGGAATTACTCCAAGTTTCTCCCAATTTCCTCCAAAGATTTGGAGAGAGTTGCTGGAGTTTCTTGGTGTGACACCAAGTTTTTACACAGTGTTTGGAGTATGAGAATCAGTACTCTCTGTGTGTACTGTATATAGCTTTTGATAAATGGGAAAATCATTTGAATCGAAAGAATTTAAGTACAAGATGGACAGTGCCATTAGGTACTAAAGACTGCCTTAATGTACTAACGGTTTCATTACTTTTTATATTTTTCACCCCCCTCTCCTCAAATTAAAGCAAGGAGTTACAAAAATGTACATCAGAGTTATTCCCATGCTCAGTGAAGTGGCAAGGATAATGAGCTGTTTGTCTTATGTGCATAATGTCAAGAAAAGTCTCATCAACAACAAAACAATTAAGAAAATATTTAAATGATATACCGGTACATGTACATGTAGGTATAGTTTATACATGTAATGATGTATACAAGTGCACTACAACTTCATGTACCATATATGCAATAGATACATGTAATGATATATATACGATATGTAACTGCTTGTAATAGTCCATAGTCTTCTACTGTATATTTGTCATTTATGTACTACATGTAAGGGGAAGTTAACGTTTTCTCTTTTTTTTAATTAGGATAAGAAACTGAACTATAGTAATAGTTATGAAACTGCACATATATTTCCTATGGCATATTGGTTAGAACAGTGTTAGTTTATATTATTTTTACATATCCACAAGACAGAGGACCAATAATACAATCTCTCACTAAGACAAGACTGATATTATCTTGTCTTTTACTCCTGTCAGCACAGCTTTTATGTACTTAATATTCAATTTTATATACCAAACATTTTTGAAGTTTCAAAACAATTAATTACATGTAATTTAAAAATAAATGGAGGAATAAGAACAGCCTTTTTGGAATAATGGTACATATATATAAATGATCAATTTCTTATCCAATGTTTTTGCAGTTATATCTACAATGTAAGTTAAAAGGCTCAGGAGATTTAAAAAGTTGTCTGACAGAATAGTTTAAAGCAGAACAAATGTTCAACAGTGAAGATAGTTTTCACTAGCTATAAATGTTTCAGGAAGAATTCAAGCTGTTTTTTATTTATTACTATATCTTATTCAGGATTTTGAGTAGTTTTCTGATAAATGAGCATTCTATATTGACAATTTTCCAATATTTCACAGTAATGTATTTAACAATTATAACATATGTTTAATGTAATATAAATGTTAAATTTTGTTATTGTTTCAAAACTTGTTAAATTTAAGGGAAAATGATTACAGTGTACTGTATGCTTATAGTAGCAAACAGTACCAATTTTACCACACCAGATGCACCAGATGCACATTTCAACATAAAATGTCTCTTTAGTGATGCAAAACATTTGAAAATCCAAATTTTATTTAAAATGTGCCTGTGACAAAAAAGTTCATTTGCAATTGATGAAAAGTCATTTGACATGTTTGATGAGCTCAGCAAATCAACTGATTACTTTTAATGTCAGTGTATGACAATACCTACAGTTGCACTATTGTACTATACTCGATCCAAGTTTAACCATGCTACTTTTACTATTTTAAAGTCATATGAAACTTCTAATAAAAATAAAGTTGAAATTGTATTATATACTAACTTGAATGGCTAAATTTTACTATAAAACAAGTTTACGTAAACTTTCTTGTAAAAGAAAATCCTTTATATTATCAAAATCTTCATAAATGTACTGCTATTGAATTATTGCCTTCCCGTACACCTACCGGGTAATTCACTGATCTTTTCCTGTATGCAGTGACCTTAACTATGAGACCTCTCATTAGAATTTCAGCCACCGCACAGTGCAAGTGCAAGGGGAAAACTGTGATTAAAGAATGTAAACAAACATGCACTGGTAGGTAAATCGTAATGACTGATTCTCAAAGAACAAATTTAATACAACAAATCATTTAACAACTGTTAAGGAAAAGTTTAATTCAGCAAATGAGAACGTATGGAAAATATTAAAAAAATAATATGGGTCTATTCACTTATTTGTCAAGGGCTCCACATGCTCTGTGTTGATTGATTATCAGTGTCACGATCCGGTAAACTTCGGCAACAAACTAGTTTAGCATATAAGAATGCATTTGTTTAATAATTTCGATAAACATTAAAATTACAAGAAACTCGTTTCATATGACTTGCCAGATTCTGAAGCTTTTCCATATAAAATAGTCACAACAATACTTAACATTTATGTTGCTGCTGTCTAAGATTTTCCTTTGTTTATTGTTATATAAAGATGTGCAAACTATCATAAAGCGAAGAATTAATCAATAATTCTTATATAATTTACATTTAAATTACAAAAACCTGAATGTGATTAGTCAGTTAGAATATTTTCATTTGGTTTAAACTTTGATATAGCATGTTCTGAAACTACTTACGTAGCCTTTTAAAACACTATGTTGATTTCACTGTGATATATATTAATGAGGATACACATGAATGGAATCCTATGGTTCCAGGAATGTAAAGGTGGCTGGGGTGTCTTCCTCCATCTTGGATTTTGAAGTAGCAGATGACAATTGGTCTAGATCTTTAATGAAATGTGCAAATTTTGAGAGTTGTATGTAATTCATGTGTAAGACTTTTCATGTTAATATAGAAAATTATGTGTTTTATCATATTTACGACTGTATTTTCTAAAAAACAGAATGTTTTTGTTTGATTCATTTTTTTACAATTTTGCCACATAAGGGGAGGTAACTCCGATAGTAGGGGAGATAACTCAGAAAAAGTAATTTTTATAATAGAAAGTGTTGTGAATTTACCTATTTTAATATGTTGCAAGAAAACAAGTCCGGTGACCCCATTTTTTCTTTTCTGATTTGAAAGCATATTATAAGATCTATCTTATCACATCTTATCTTAAAATTCTATGGTGTAGTTTTCTTTTTATCACACAAAATTGGATTTCCATGCATCATCTATACAAAATTTGACAATTTTGCAGAACCTGTAGCGTGAAAAAAAGTCCGGTGACCCATACTTTTTATTATATTTTGGAAAAAAGCATGATAAAAACTACATTTTGACAAATTATTAAAAAATTCTATGGATTTTAATTAAGACCCCCCATCCACCTTAACTCGCAAACTTCACATATATTTTTCATAAATTTCATAGGGAAATGTTCTGGACTTTAATGGTGCTTAAACAAAAATGTTTCTACTGAATGGTGCTTAAACAATTATTTCCATAAATAAGTTGTGTATGCCAATGGCAGATCCAGAAATTTTCATAAGGGGGGCCCACTGACTGCCATAAGAGGGGACCCGCTTAGTCACGCTTCAGTGATTCCCTTATTTATCAACCACGAAATTTTTCCCATGAAAGGGGGGCAGGGCACCCTGGGCCCCCTAAATCCGCCTCTGTATGCATGAAAATTTAAAGTAGTTACCTTAGGGAGGCAAGAAACAGATTTTTTTTTGGCGTGACCATAAAGTTTTGATAACTGCTAAAATACATTAATTTACTACTATATTGTTTGAATAAGTATGTATGTGCTCAAACTCTCTTTTAACTCATTTAAATGCCTGTTTTGATGTTTTCAGTTTGTACGATAAAGAATTTCAAAATTCATGTCAACACCTTACATGGGGGAAATCCCCAATAAATCCTGCAAGTTGGCACAGATCTGAGTTTCTGTTATTTGAATCATAATGTGTGAGAAAATGTTTAAAAGCATTTATCTTTTTTTATGTTAGTTCTTTCAAATAATTTTCTTCTAAGATAATAAAGGATAAGTTATATTGTTTTCTGTAAAAATGCCAAACTAAATAAATGTCGAAATATAGACA